ATATACTAGGTAGCTATTATTCTTATATTCGTACTATAGCTATTTGCACTTAGGTATGCTCTTTGTAACGGCGCAGGCAAGACTACTCGGATCAGTATCGGCGGTAGTGTCACTCAGAGGCATATGGGAGTGCGTGGGACATCAAACGAGCCTTAATTCGAATAGACACCTATAGGCCTTGTACGAAAGGATATCAAAAGTCTACAGAGCTAGCTACAGGGAGTGTCTCCTTATATACTTATCTTAGTCGGATCCGAATCGGATCCGACCTCACAACGAGTAGTTGATGAAGAGAGCGGCGAGTACTACCTCCGATCCGGCTCTGGGATTGGTCCGATACATAGCGAAGTTATAACATCGTTACACTACCCCCCTCTTAGTAGACAGCTAGTCCCATAGCTATGAGACTGTTCTTATACCTCTCTATTGCAGTTTCTCCACGCCAGCGCGAGAGACTGTTTCGGGTGACTTTCGGCTTATTCTATACCCACTTTTCTTTTCTTTCTCTACACTTAATTATCTTACAGCGAAGTTATATCGTCTATATCTTTCTCCTAAGCTTAAATCCACTAGCTAAGAGCCCGAGAAGGTCCTAGCTTTAATAAGTTTTGTTCATGAAACTCTCTAAGCTTATAAGAAGCTCCCATAAAGTTGGAGGCGGGGTACTAGGTAGAATCTAGATTATGTCCGATCTAGCTCACCTGATACTTTAACTTAGCACGATATAACTTACTAGCAAGGATCTGATCTACTTCCCACTCTTCTACACCTTAGATAGGCTCACTAGGAGGCTTAGGAGCTTCTTGTCCTAGGAGGGGGTCTTAGGGGTCCTTACACAGTAGGTCCGGAGCGAACACGTCGTAGATACGGGAGCCTACTAGTAGTTAAAGTCGATATGAGTGGCTAACTTTCTCTAGAACCTTAAAGAGACCCTCCTACTTAGCGGCCAGCTTACGACTCGGACGGTCGATTACTAGATTCTTAGTATCTAAGAATACTATATCGCTAATGTTCTAATCGATAGGGCGACGATGGCGGTTGACGGCGGATCGCATCCGGTTCTAGGCCTTCTCCATCTACTGCTTAGCGGTATCCCATACAGCGTGCATGCGGGTGGCAAGCGCTAGAGCATCCTTATAATTAAGTTTGTTAGTAGGGGTAAGGATACTAATTAGATACTACCAGTCCCAGCTTTGCTTAGGTACGGATCCGTAAAGGATCTGATACGGAGACATGCCAATAGAAGAGTAAGGTAGGGAAATTTAGGCACGATCAATCAGAGGCAGCAGCCCACTCTAGTTATTCTAGTAGTAGGTTACGAACAGACGTAGTCTCTAATTAATATACTTATTTATAATCTCTATCTAACTATTAGTTTCCTTATAATAGGCGGTAGATAGCTTAACCTTAACACCTAGGATCTAACAGAACTTGAACCAGAAACTGAACACGAACTATAGTCCTCGATCAGAGATAATTGTCTCTAGGGTGTGTCCGAATTAGTACACCTACTAGATAAAGAGTTCGGCCATACCTCTTGCGTCGATTGTCTTATGACACGGGATAGAGATGGCCTATTTAGACAACTAGTCGATCACGACCATAATCTAATCATATTTAGCCTTATTCTTAGGGAATTCCTTAAAGTTAATGCAGAGGTGTTGCATTAGCTGGTTAGGAATTAGAAGGGGGTAAATCAGCCCTAGGACTTGGGTCTGTCTTAGATAGGCTTTACAGCAGGCTAGGCAGTTCCGCACATACCTCTTATAGGTAGCTTCTATGCCTTTCTAATAGTATTTCCGAGACAGCAGCTGATAAGTCTTCTTTGCACTTAGGTGGGCTAATGAGACCTAATCGTAGGCCTCTTAGATTAGTCGCGTGCACGCGGGGGAGTCTAGCTGCACGTAGAGATGGTTCGAGTAGAGCAACAGTCCGTTTTCTATCTAGTACTTATTAGGGAGAGTACGGCGCTCTTTCTCGAACGATGTGCGGTTTTGCTGCAACAGAAGCTCGATTAGCTCAAGGGAGTCCAGGGACATAGTCTCCTAAGTGGGCTCAACTACTAGCAGCGAGGTGGCCTGCTCGGATAGTTGTTCTATATATGCCTTAGCGAGTTCGGAGTTAATTCAGTTGTTAAGTCGGTGCGGTCCTAGGAGGACCCGCGAATAGTTATTAATTTAGGCATTCCTTAAGTTCTGCAGGTCCTATTTCTAACGGCTAAGGATATCAGCGCGAGCGTTGTTCTTGCCGGGCGTGTATCAGATGTAGAAGTTAAACGAGGCGAGCTGTTCAGCCTATCTTACTTATCGGGCGTTCAGAATCTTAGTAGTTATAAAGTATTCTAGCGAGCGGTGATCGGAGTACACTTAGACTTAGGAGTGGGTAGAGGCTAACTTAGATCTCTACTTATCAAATACTATAATAATAGCATACAACTCTTTATCGTGTATCTCCCAGTTCAGCTCTAATCTGGATAGGACCTTGCTGAAGAAGGCTACTGGGCACTATGAGCCATTAGGTTGGTTCTGAGATAGTACTCCAGCCATAACACCATTAGATGCGTCCGTCTCTACCTTAGTATTATACTCTGGGTGGTAGTGATATAAGGTAGGGATTACTAGCAAGGCTGCCTTTAACCTTTCAAAGGCCTAGTCGCATTCCGGATCCTATATAAATAGTTTCGCAGGGCTCTAAAGTGCGATAATTAGCTTAGTAATTCGCGAGTATTCTGGGACGAATTGCCGATAGAATCCTGTGAAGCCTAGGAACGACTTCACACCAGTGACGGTGGTGGGTCGGACCCAGTTGCGGAGGGCTTCTACCTTGTTAGGATCTACCTCTAGGCCTTTGTTAGTAAGGACGTATCCTAAGTATTTTGTACGAGTAACATAGAATTCACTCTTCTTAATGTCGACTTGGAGTCCTGCTTGTCGTAGCCTTTCTAGTACCTTGCGCACATATCGGATGTGGTCCGACTCTGACTCGGAGTAGATGAGGATATCGTCTAGGTAGGCGATGCAGAAGTTATCTAGGTAATTAATTAACACATCGTTTATGTATCGCTAATAGGTTGCCGGACCGTTGCACAGCCTGAAGGGTAGTACCTTGGTCTTATACGTTCCGTAACGTGTACGGAATGTGGTGTATTCTTTAGAGTTAGGGTCTATCCGGATCTTATTAAAAGCCGCACGTATATTAAGCTTAGTGAAGATCTTGGCCTTGTGGGGACGAGCAAGTAGCTTATTAATACGCGGGATTGGATACGCATCCTTACGTATAATAGTATTGAGTTTACGGTAATCCACGCAGATGCGTAGGTCTCCGTTTAGCTTCCGAACACATAGGACTGGGGAGGCGAAAGGGCTGTGGCTTGGGGAAAAGTATCCCTTCTGAAGGTTCTCTATAATAAACGCCTTAGTCGCTTAGAGCTCTTCGGTGCTCTGCTTATATAGGGGACTGAACTGATTCGGCAGAGGTTCGGTGAGAACGATCTTATGGTCGTACGGGCGGTGTTTAGGTAGCTAATTAGCTGCTGTTTTGCTGAACACGTCTCGGTACGGATAGTAGACGGACAGGAGTCGGTTCTGAACTAACTTAGCATTTTCAGGATCATCTTTTAGTCGTCTCTCCTCTAAAATACGATCGATCTTATAGATACTTGTCGTGAAGAACTCGTTTTCCTTGCGTTTTATGGTGTAGTGGAAGGCGTTGGTAGAGATAAGTGAGATGCGGGGTGAAGGAGGGGAAGAGAGTGCAGGTCGGATAGGTTTCGGAGCAGGGTCGGGTGCTGGAGGTAGAGGACGGGCTTTGGGGAGTCGAAGAAGGCCATGGATCCGTTGAATACTGGCCGTGGTTGGACTGTTTCTTCTCCGATAGTCGTCCTTCTCCCAGAGAGCGTTGCGTCTCTCGATATCCTTCGCAACCTCAGTGTCAACAGCTGGTTATTTTAACTATACTAGAATAGGTGGGGCAGGATTATATATTGCTAGGTATTTGGCTGGCCATACGATTCGGTTCCGAACCGTATCTAATTGAAGCTAGAATCGGCGTAGCCACTTAATACCAATAATACAATCCTGTGATCCTAAATCTATAATAACGAATGGGCAGTTATAGATCTTACGGCTATTAATAGAGAGGTGCAACCGGATATATTAATTAACCCTCGTCTGAACCTGATCTTGAAATCCTTTAACTATAATCTTAAAGGGAAGTCTTTAGATAGGAATCTAAAGCGAACTAGAGATTGTACGAGCAATTGCAGAATTCAAAAATAAGAACCTTTAGGCGCTAGTATTAACCAGCGACTGCAGGCTAACACCATAACCCTTTGAATAAAGAATAGTAGGGACTTAGAAGTGCTTTCCTCCAAACAAGTATAATAGATCAATCTTAGCAAGGTCATACTTATGAATGCCTAGGGCGGAGCATTTTCCTAGGCTTCGTCGTTTCCTGACTAGTCCTTATCCGACTGGTATTCTACAGCTTCCTCAAACACCTCTTCTTCTTAGAAAGCTTCTATCTCTCTTACCTAAGAGACTGTGCAGTCGCTCGCAAAGTGTCTGAGCTTACCGTATTAGTAGCAGTTACCAGGAGTAGTTTAGCGTTCTGGTACTAGTGTCTTAGAGGCAGGCCTAGGCACCACTCGAGAAAGCCCGAGGTGGGGGTCGG